TTTTATCAAATTGTAACATATTTTTTCTTGTTTCTGTGGGTAATCCTATTTGTTCCTAGAAAATTGCGCATAAAAGAAAATTATTGTACAACCCTTGACATGTACCTTTTCGTATTTGAAAATTGTAAAATTAGTGTGTTTTTCCTTTTAAAATTTTACGCAGTGGTCGTCTTGTTTCGGAATTTTGCGCCTATTATCGTGAGTTGCTTTTTATACTAAGTTTCGTGTCTGGCACAAGAACTTGGAGTTGGTAGGAAAGTATTTTGTTAAGTGTCCAATGCCAGAAAATTATCATTTCATTTAGTATTTTATGAGCACTAGACAGTTTTCACACGTTCAAGTAATTAGTACCTTTATGCATTTGCAAATTTGTAGTGCTCATATGTTAATAAGTAATGGTTAGCAACCTTGTAGAACGAAAGCAGGAAAGATTTTTTATTTTAATATTCACCCAATACAAGGCTCAAGTGGAGGGTTACTAAATGAGGTGTGTGATAAGAACGTAAAGAGAGGTGGTAGAAAGTGAAGATTACGAGGACATGGAAGATAGGAAAGGACTGACACTTAACTTGAAAAGTTTAAGAAATTAAGATTGTAGCATTCGATGAAGCATCCACGCGGTGATTCATAGGAAAAAGCGGTGTGAGTAGAACTCCTTCCTTACAACTGGACTACAGAAGTACATAGAGTGGCTCGGCTCCGTGGAACTAGCATGCAAGTCTTAGATAATGGTTTGAACTGGTGGAGATAAAAAAAATGGAATTCGTCCGAACATTTACCATGAAAATAGCGATAGAGTAGCGATAAGCTTGTGATGTTACATCTGTTGGAAAGAGTTTATAGGGTATTTATACATTCAGTATAATGTAGAGAAAACACCTGGGAATTAGACAAAAACAGATGCCTTTCTTTGTCTAGAAGAATCTGTCACTCTTTTCTGTAAGAATATACACGTTTTTAACAGAGAGTATAAATATAAAAACGAATTTAATTTCTCATGACCAAAAGAATAAGACAAAAACATTAATCATGTCTTCGGCGGGAAGTGGATACTTGAGATTTGAATCCTGAATATGAAGCCAATTACTCCAGATGAATAGCGGCAGCTATAATAACAGTATGGATAAAAATTTCGAAAGAGAGTTTCCAGAAATTTATCGAAAGCATGTCAAGAAAAATTGAAGTAACAATAGAGGAGTATATCAAATAAAGTGACCGGTGAGTATATATACGAGGGTCATTCAATAAATAAGGTGAATTTTTCGGTATAAGGACTTCTAATACAAATAGAAGCTTACTTCTTTTTTTCTTTTTCTTTTTGTTTTACTTCTTTTTCACGTGGATTTAATTTCTTTTGCAGATTAAAAAAAAACTTTGAGAGTTTTGGCGATTAACAAAGATGGCCGACCAAGAAGCATGCTCCAGGATTAAATAGCAGTCAATTATCAAGTTTTTGGTTGCTGAAGGGTGCAAACCAGTTGAAATTCATAGGAGAATGTCAACTGTGTATGGTGCCACATGTTTCAGCCAAAAAATGACTACAAGTGGGCTAAATTGTTTTAAGAAGGACGGAGCAGTGTTGAGGATGAAGACAGACATGGGAGGCCTACAGAAGTGAGGTCTCCTGAGGTGATCGAATCAGTCAATGACCTCATTCAGTCTGACAGAAGGGTGACGGTGGATGACATTGCAAGGACTTTGAGCTTATCTGTTGGGACAGCACACAAAATTGTCCATGATGACCTTGGCTACTCGAAGGTCAGCTGCCGGTGGGTGCCAAAGATGCTTACTGCAGAGCACAAACAGAGGAGAGTCGAGTTCTCCCAGTTGTGTCTCATCCCCCTTACAGCCCAAACCTTGCCCCTTCAGACTTTCACCTGTTTGGTCGCTTGAAAGCGTTCACGAGAGGCACGAAGTTTAAAAGTGACGATGAAGTCAAAAGTGTTGTGAGCGACTGGCTGAGACATCAGTCCAAAGATTTTTACGCTGAGGGAATACGGAAGCTTGTGCACAGATGGGAAAAAATGTGTGACAGTGCTGGGAGACTACGTTGAAAAAAAAAAGGAAGCTATCTGTATTAGAAGTCCTTATACCGAAAAATTCACCTTATTTATTGAATGACCCTCGTATATATATATATATATATATATATATATATATATATATGTGTGTGTGTGTGTGTGTGTGTGTGTGTGTGTGTGTGTGTGTGTGTGTGTGTGTGTGAAAAGCTCATGTGGTCTCAAACGTCACATAAATTCCATCAGGCTGCCGCCGTCCAGCCAACAATAGTTACCCGTAACAATTAAAAAAGTTCTAAATCATTTGTTGATAGTCTACGTGATATTTAGTGTCCTCTGTCGAACTTTCGAAAAGTGAATATTCAAGTTCTGTTCCTCTATTTATGGTGATGATAGTGGGAACACCAAATCTGCTGACCCAACCAGTTATAAAATCCTGTGCAACTGATTTCACACTGATATCAGTAAGGGAAATTATTTCAGGTCAACGGGTGAATCGAACAATGCATGTGAGGAGATAGTAATATTCATGACAAGGAGGGAATGGTCCGGTGATGTCGATATGGACATGTTCACCTCGAGTATCAGGAAAGGGGGAAAGTGTAGGAGCTGATTTAGTGTCTCACTATTTTGGCTTTTTAACACGGAACACAATGACGTGTCCAATCCCACGTATCCTTGTTGATTCCGGACCAGATATAATTTTTACTAACTAGCTTTCGGTCGCTTTATACCTGGATATGATATTGAGTGCAGAGTGAATAAATAATAATTTACGAAGAGTTTTCAGAATAAAAGGCCGCAAATTTCTTGTAGAAATGTCGCACCAAATAGAATGTTTCGTTTGTGGAATATATATTTCTTTCATGTGTAATGAAGAATTATTGTTCTCTAGAAGAGATTTTAGATCTTCATCAACTTTTTGTGAAGTTGCAATAGCTTCAAAATCAATGACTGAAATTATATCAATTGTAGAAATATTACTGGAGATTGTGTCTACCAGAATGTTTGCAGAGCATTTGATATGTCGAATATCAGATGTAAATTGGCTGATGAAATCGAGGTGTTTAAGTTCCCGAGGAGAATAGTTATCTGATTTTCCTTGATTGCTCCGATTAAAGGTTTATGGTCTGTAAGCACGTGAAAAGGCCTATATTTCAAAAAGTGTCGAATGTCACAGTACACCGCCATTAACTCTCGTCCGAAATTGGTGTGCCGAGTAGCGGTTTCTGATAATTCCTTTAAAAATAAAGACACGGGTAACCATTCATCTAATTCACGTTGACGCAAGACTACTCCAATGGCAAAACTCAAGGCATCTACTGCCAAGGATAACTCTGATTCATGATTGGGAAAAGTGAGGTTACTAACATTGGCTAACTTTTCCTTTGCCAAATTAAAGGCTGACAACTCTTTTTTTTTCAGAAAGATTTATATCACAGTTCTTTTTCTTTTGTCCTTGAAGAATATCTGTCAATGGGGAAACTATTTCTGCCAAATTGGGAATAAATTTCCTAAAAATCTTCACCATGCCAAGGAATTGGCGTAGTTTTTTTTTTTTTTTTTTTTTAGGAACCGAGAAACAGAGAATAGCTTCGGTTCTTTCAGGTAGTGGTTTGAGTCCATTTTTATCAATCTTATGAAAAAAAAAAAGGTCAGCTTCAGACAATCCAAATTTACATTTAATTGGATTCACTACAACACCATATTTTCAAAGTCTTTCAAAAAATTCTTGTAAATGCCGTTTATGTTCTTCTGGTGAAGAACTGGCAATAAGCACGTCATTGAAGTAGCAAAAGAAACTGAATCTATTCCTTGAAGAACTTGGTCCATAAATCTTTGAAAGTATTGGGCTTCATTCCGTCGTCCAAATTGTGAACGTAAAAATTCGTAAAACCCAAATGACATTGTAATGGCTCTCCTCTGTGCTATCTGGATGAGGTCAAGTTTTGAAAAGATTTTAGTTCCATGTCGTTGGCTGGTAAAACCTGGGATATTAGCAAGAGTAATCATGAAGAGAAATCACGTTCAGTTTGCGTTAATTACCAAAAGGTCTCCACGATGATGACTTCTATTTTAGTTCTGTTGTAGAGGTGAAGACCACTCGCTTATCGAAGTGCGAATTACTCCAATGTTTTCTAAATGCTGGAATTCCTGTTTGACAATCTTAAATTTATAAGGAGCAAGTCGTTTCAATGCATTGTATGATCTCATTTTTTTTTCACAGCAGTATTTAATTTTGATTCGGTTATGTCTTGATAATTGGACAATATTTCCGAAAATTCGGAATTTTCTTCTGCTGAGGCAACTTTGGCATTAAGAAGTGTTGCAAACTTTAGGCAGCCAATAGATTTGATGCCAGTCTTTGTGTCAATCAATTTTTGTCTTTTAAGGTCAATCAACAGATCATAATGGTACAAAAGCTATACGCACCCAGAATTAGTGTTGTGATGCCGGCTACGATAAGAGTTCTTTGGAAATCACGTCGTAGAGACAAATTTAGTGCCATGCATTCATGTCTATATGTGTGGATAATCGAACCATTTACCGCTCGTTATGTGAGTTTTCCCGGATCCTTTAATTTGTCTGACTAGGAAGTTTGGGTTAACAATATTTGTGCTCCACTATCGGCCAGGAATATTGTTTTTGAAATTCTGTCGATTATATGGAAGAGTCGACTTGAGTTTGAAATTCCAACGTTCCCACCGTCAAAGATTGTTGGCTTATTCGTTTCTTTGGGACTTATAATTGCAAGGAGTTGCGCAATTTGTCCTCCTGTCACCGAATCTTTTGGGGTAGTAACATACATCGCTCCTTACTTTTGTATCGTTGTCAGCTCCTCGACGAACTGCGATGCTAGTGCTTTTGAAATTGTTGAATTTTTTAGTCAGATCACCTACTTGCAACAATTTATTTTCTTCCTGTATTTGGGTAATGTCATCTTTTTAGGTCAGGGAGAACAAGAAACACTCACTGTGTTACTGGCCTTAAGAATCTACTGATATATTTTGTTAATGGATTGTGATTGGACGGTTCAAAGGTAAACCGCCTCCCTTTGAAGGGGAAGAGAGAACTGGGACAAAACCTTAGCAGCAGTTGGAAACGAGACAGCTTAGAAAGAAGAGGTTCGTTTTCTCTCTCCCTACTGAAAAGGCAGGCAGCTTTTGCCCATAAGTGAAGGATGCATGGGTAACAAAGTTGCTGAGGGCAAGTTTCCACTTCAGAGAAAGTTTTAAGAACTCCTCTCGAAGAAGTTCCAGAAAAGAAAGTTTGAAAAGAAGTCCATAAGTGGAGTTTGGAGCTAAAGCCGTTTGAGAAGAAGAAGAAAGGAGCAAACACGTGCGTTTTCAAAAAATGTTTTAGCGCGTGTTTAAGTAAATTTTCATCTTCTACGGCCGTAAAAGAAACGCAGTATCCAGGCGGACGGGAGGAAAATAAGTGAAGAAAGAAGGGAGTTTGGTCACCAAGAAGAGAACTTTGTCTACACAAGAAAGAAAAGAAAAAAGATAAAAACTTTTGAACCTTGAAAGGACAGAAAGTGTACTGTAGAGCTATGGCTCTTCCCCCTTTTTTATTGTCATCTTTGACACAGCAGGTGGGCGCATTTCTTTTTTTTTTTTTTCTTTTTTTTTTGTCATTGTAATTTTTAAGTTTTGTTTTCCTGATATATATTTTACATTGTGTTACTCAGAGAATAGGTTGTCCTATTCTCAGCAAAAAAGGGACGAATTTTTGCAAGCACCCTTGTTTAGCTGGTTAGAAATAAATAAATATTTTTTCTTTGTAATTGAATCTGATTTTCATTTTTTTTCTTTCTTTTTCGTTATTAATTCGGGCAATAGTGAAAATACTGTTGCATCAGGTTTTATTTTCTGAAAGAAAAGAAAATTTCCGAAACATCACTCGGAGTCCGTGCACTTATAACTGGGTTGTCTTGGATCATGACTTCCATCAATTTATCAGCAGTATCGCACAGCTTATTCATGGGTACATTGTCTCGCATTGCCGTTCAGGATACCTGAGCCATTTGTGGTAGCTTTCCTATAAATATGTATTGTAAAACACTATCATCCAACGTATTGCTGGACAGAGTCTGTAAACGACGCGGAAGTTGGGATGGTTTTCTATCGCCCAACGTTTCCGATTCCAATAATTGTTTCAGTCTCCTCCTCTCAGATAGTGAAATTAGGAGTATTAACTCCTCTTTTAATTTGTCGTACGGGTTGTGGTTGGGTTTAACAGGAAATGTTTCTTGAGGTAATGCAGAAACTACGCACGCAATTTTTTGTTTTTGGGGATTAAATATTTTTCATCAGAAAAACGGCTTCCAAGCGGATATAACACAGTCCCGGGTCATTGTTAGTGAATATTGGTATATATTCAAAGGCTATATTTCTGTTCCTCCATTTTTTGTTTCGTGCAAGTTTTTTTTTAAATCTTTTATGCAATTTTATAAGTTTTTTTTTAAAATAAATGCGCACGCATATGCAGTATCAAAAGGTTGTAGCATGTAAAAATATTTTCTATTCACCACTTAATGATATTATATTATTTTTGAAAAAATATTCTGAGAAAAATTCTCAATGGAAAACTATATATAACCCGATAAGATTTAGAATAGGGCAGAGACGTTGCTCATTTTGTAAAAATAAATTCTTTTCTGTCCTTATTATTATTAATTTATTAACACGAGATAATTTGCTATTTACCTCAAACATTGCCTCGCTTAAAAATTAAATAGTTTATTAGTGTATGAATAGTATTAATTAGGTTAACAGGAAGAAAAACTGGCGAAATGAAATGGGGTCACTTGGTCGGTCAGTGGCAGCGTTATCCCCGTTATTTTACGACTTTCTGAGAAGTTTTGTGTCAGAGAAAAAAATATATATTTTAACTGTTATTATGCGTCACCGTTAAAGTTTATAAAATATTTTATCATAATATATTATTAATTCAAAGTCAAATCTAGTGAAAGATTTTTCTCCGAAAATTACTAAGAGAAAATTCCGCATGAAAAAGATTTAATAAATGAAATATAAAAAGCAAAATATCTTTGTAGTTAGTGTACGTAATACTTACGGAACGTAGCACAATTTTATTTATTTTAAAGACAAATCCATTTAAATTAAAACTTTGAAACCTTACTAGTGTGAGATTTTAATAAAATAACGCATTCTTTTTTTAGCATAGAAGCTTTTTTGTCGTTGTCACCAGTTTAGTGATTAGCTACTTCAATAATTAAATATGAAAGGTTTTTTACCGGAACATTTTATAGCACATGAAATAAAGGTGGTGAAAAAGAATACATGAACAAAAGAACAGACCAATTGATTTGCAATGCAAATATAATATTTATTAAAACAAAATTAACAAAAGTAAATTTTTAAACAAGTGTTTCTTTTGTTAGACGTAAATTGTATACGCAACAAAATGCCTACTAGTATGTTATAGTGGGAACTTTGTTCGTATGTTTTATATGAAGCATTCGCAGCCCTTGTAACTTCAACATTGAAAGTTCATGACAGCAATTCGAAAGAGGGAAAACCCCGGAAAAGAAAAGTTACCTTAGCGTTCACGTGTTTTTACATTTGAGAGCTGCTGCAGATAAGTTTTATTTAGAGCTGCTACTGATAGTTTTAGTTTAGAGTTGCTACTGCTACTATCTTTAAGCTAAATCTGCCACTGCTACTATCTTTAATGTCACTACAATATTATATAAACACACATACATACGTACATACATACATACATACAAAAAGTAAGCAAAAACCTATTTCTATAGGATTTGGGATATATTCCAGTGCAACTTATGTAAATATTGATGTGCAATGTTCTTATCTAGGAATCCTTGTGACATAATATTGGCTCTAACTAAATCGATATCCACTACCCAATGAATCAGATGGGTCTGCACGTTTGCCTCTGGCCTTATAAATAGAGATGGCATAAAGTAGAGAAATAAAACATCAATAACATTACTATAAATAAATGAAAAAAGAGAAAGAATAAAAAGGAAAGGAATGAAAAATGGAAAAAAGAAAAAGGAAAGAAAAGAAAAATGAAAAGAAAAGAAAAAATGGAAAGAAAACAATAAAAGGAAAAAACGTGGAATCGGTTTTGCTTTCCAGGATTTTAGATGCCATTGTAGTGTCTCATATTGAATTAAATGCAGCAAAAGTTCGTTAGGGTGCAAGTAACATAGCGAGGAAACTGATCACTTATCTGAAATTCTGAGATTAAACATTTTCATTATTTCCAGACTTGAATCCTTATTTTTATTGTTTTAGTCACTCACGTTCAGTAAATATTTCCTTTGTCTCAATTTCTGGGTTAAGGAGTTATCATTATTTACATTGTGTACAGTCGGACTAATATCCTCATCTTTGTTGTTGCTATCACAATGTCTACAGTCAGACTATTGTCTTCATCTTTCGTGTTATTATCACATTTCGGCGATTCTGCCGTGCATACCGGCCTTCTTCAGGTGCTTGTCGATCCGGATAAACTTTGGGAATTTTGAACTAAACCCTTGTTTTCTAGTGTAAGTTGCACTCGTTCTGCTGTTCATGTGTAAAGATAGCTCGTCTTATTTCTTTTTTTTTTAAGGTTGGTCAGTTATTACACTGAGTACTGCCTGATCAAGGGATTGAACTCACAATTACTTTGCCTCCAATTGTCCTATGAACAACAGCCTAGAGCAAGTTTGGGCAACTCTTAGCACGCGTGCCAAACACGGCAATTTTTTTTTTGACTCAATTTTATTCTTTCTCCTCTTTTATATATATCATTATCTCACGTATTTTTATTTTCTTCCCTTCACAGATTGGGCATAATGTCACGATCATCAGCTAAGAAATGATGTTATTTAAATGAAGAGGATGTTAGAGAATTTAAAGAATACTGGGCTGAAAAATTTGGCATTCTTAAAAAAGATATTAAAGTCTTAAGCATTTTCTATCCCGAAAAATTCATTTGTAGGACGTCTCCTGTAAAGAGACATTTTGAAAATGTTCATAAAAACTTAAGCAATGAAACTGACGAGGAACAAAGAGAATTAATTTCTCTTGAACTGAGCAAGACACAAAACAGGCTGATAATTTTATGAACTTTATTTCAGGTAAGCCTAGTTCCAAGTTAGTTACTGCTAGGTTTTGAGGAAAGCCACTCAGTGAAGGGGAATACATTAAAGAAACTTGACCAGAATGTGCGCTTTTCCTTTTTGACAATTTTTCAGAAAAGGAAAAGATTATTCAGCGCATCAAATACAAAGGAAAACAGTCAAGGGAAGGATGCTTAAGTTAGAAAGGAATACAGCTGAACTACTGACAAAAGATTTGTCAGGGTTTTTTTTCTATTTGTGTTGATGAAAGTACGGACATTGCATCATCAGCTAGACTAGCCATATTTTCTTGATTTTGTAGGGGTGACGAAGTATGTGAAGTGATGGTTGCCCTTGTAACACTACCCGAACGTAATAGCGGGGCTAAAATATGTAAAGCAGTTCTAAACGAATTATCTACTCGTCAAATTCACATTTCACAAGTAGTATATGCCACAACAGATGGTGCCCCCCACCCAGTATGACTGGTGAGAAGGCAGTATTTGTAAATCTGTTTTCAAAATTTGGTCATCCACTGATAAGTTTTCATTGCATCATAAATGAGGAAGTTTTATGAGCAAAAGCTGACCTAAAGGAACTTGAGAAAGTGATGCAAACAGTTACCAAAGTTGTTAATTACATTTCTGCTCGGGATTTAAATGAAAGACAATTTCAAATTTTATTGAATGAGGTAGAATTTGTATATGAAGGACTGAAAATGTACAACAATGTTTGTTGGCTTAACCGAGGTTTGGTTCTGAAACGATTTGTTGAATGCTTAGACGAGATAAAGATTTTTTAAATGACCAAGAACTATCTTGCCAAGAATTGTCTGATATCATGTCGGTTTGTAAAATGATGTTTTTTGCAAATTTTTGTGAACATTCAAATTACTTGAATATTAAATTACAGAGATCTAGTAAGACACTTGATGTTATGTTTGGTCACAGGAAAACGGAACTAGAAGGTTTTTTTTAAGAGGGTAGAGATTTAGATAGTTCGTAAACCTAAAGTTACATCAAGGACCTCTTAAAAGATGGCAGAACAAACCGCCAACGTTTTCAAAAGCTGTTTGTAAACATCATCGAATCAACTGTTGAGCAGTTCTTTACAAGATTTGATAAATTCAGAGAAATGGAAGAGACAGCAAAATTCATTGTTTCCAGATAGGATCAAATTGGATGAATTAAACTTGCAAATGTTTTCATGGATCGACATTTTGAACTGCAATTGATTGAATTCCAGAATAGCTCAATTTGGAAGCAGAAATTTGTTAACTTGGAAAATATTGAAAAGAAGCAATTAGAGATGGGAATATCAGGAAGAAATGCGGGAAACGAAGTATTAAGGACATGGAATACCATTCCAGAATTTTTTTTCTGTTTAAAAAACCTTGCAACAGCATTACTACTCATGTTTCCATCTACATATGCTTGTGAATTTTTGTTCTCAGTGATGAACTGTGTTAAATCTTGTAACAGGAGTTGCTTGACAGATGAAACTAGTAGTGTACTCTCAAGGTTACTAAATATAAAAGAACATTTTCGTAAAAACCTGTCATATTTTTTTTTTCATTCAGTCAGTTTTCTTACAATATCATGTCCTTACTGCTCTGTTGTGACTTTTTATCATTTAAAAAAGTTCTTCACATATTTAAGAGATATAAAATAATATGTTTTCAAAATATTTTTGTTGGCACGTGGAAAAACTTTGTGTTAGTGATTTGGCCGGTTTTGGCAGGCACTCTCAAAAAGTTTGAGGATTAAAACATTGGTTCGTGAATTTGGTGACACATTAACTGTCAGTTCAAACCCAGGTCCGGGTAGTAAACACTAAGAGTCATTGGAAATAGGACTAATAATAACTGAACAGTATTAAAACATAAATAAATAAAAAGATGAGATATCCCTAGACATTGACAACGAAACGATAACCAAGTACCTCCTTAGATTAAATAGAGGGTTCAGTTCGAAATTCCCCGAAGGTTGGTCAGATCATTGATTTGTTTTTACGGCTTTGAAGGCTGTTTAAAGCCAGAAAATATTTAGAATTTAGAATGTAAATGTTTTTTAGAGACAATGATTTACTGATACACGTTCTACTATTTAACCGATAGCTGGGGAAAGAAGCGATGGACCTTTCTTACAGGTATTTGCGCGCAAGGGAATATAACCAACTCGACTGGGATTGGAACTCGTCTCTCTGATCTCATATTCCGAACCGTTATCCATTACACCACCCACATATCCAAGCTTACAGCAACTGGTATTTCCCAGTTGTCACTATCTTGGTACTGACCGGGCTCGACGTTGCTTAACTTCGGTGATCGTATAAGAACCGGAGTTTCAACGTGATATGGCCATAAGCCCCTGCCCAGATCAATAGACATATGTAAAAGGTGCGAGAGGAAAACAGCAGAAACGTTGTGATAATAACAACAAAGATGAGGATATTAATCCAGCTGTAAATAACGTAAATATTTCTTCTGTTTTTCTCCAATTTTGCCTAAATTTCTGATGTGATAAACTGGTTCACTATAGTATCACAAAGTACAAAGCTGATGACTCTTAATCCGTCGGAAAGAAAAATGAATATCCCAGGAAAAGAATCACTAGAAATTATTGTAGGTACCTCCACAGATTCGCTAAAAAGTGAGCATACCATGATGAAAAATAGCCCAAACCACATAAAAAAAAAATTTTTATCATCAAAATCTTTGTTATTATTAAGAGGGAAGAGCAAAGAATTTACTGAATATTAAATCATATTTTTTATCCTTTTTTAGAACGTTGGAAATTTTGGTTAAAAATCATATTTTTTTCTTGCGTCGGATGTGGGGGGGGGCAACCATTAGTATAAGAAATTTTAGCGTATTTTTTGAGGCCGGTGGAAAACACATTGATTTGGAAATTCTTGAAAAATTAAATAATTGTCTAATTTTAATTAAACTTTCAGGAATTATTCAGAAATTAATGAAATTATTTTAGAAATGCTTTTTTGTTAGAAAATCATGGTAAAAATGTTAAATTAATGTTTATAATAATTAAATGCAGAACAACTTGGAGAATTTAAAACATCATTTTTTTTTTTTCTAAAACTGGACCTCCAGTTACCAAATATCTCCTTTAAATTGTAAAATAAAAAATGCAATAAAACTATTATTTAATTAGGAAATTTTTTAATTGCTTTTATGAATAAGACCTATTATGGTCACTATAGTCTTAAGAAAAAAAAATAACTATAGTAACTATAGTCCAATACCTAAAATTCAATAAAACATTAGATTACAGAGAATATTTTCCTAAATTTTAAAGATTATTGGGTATTTAAAAATTATATTAAAAAGTCGCTCGCGTTATATTCCTCAAATTTTTTTTTGCATATATGTCCACCGTAGAAAAAATTAGATAAACTTCCATCTGTCAGTCAAGCTGTCAATCTGTCAACATCCTTAATAAACGTCTATCTCCGTGTTAAAAAAATGCATTTCTAAAGTGAGTAATGCTTGTTTCAAATCAGATAAATTAAACTTTAAATCAGCCTGTATTCCTTAAATAAATTTTCAGAAAAGTATATTTTATTCTTTAAAGATTTTTAAGAATGTGAATGTTGCGCTGACCGATGGCTAAAAATGGCGCTAAAAACAGCGACTTTTAGCAAAACAATACAAAAATTCCTTCCAGTCAATTTAAATTTGTTTTGAAATAAAGAAAAATTATTTTGCTTATTCGAAATATTAAATTTAATCTTTTAGCTTGAAATTAAAATTAAAATTAAAACTTCAAGAAAGACTTTTCATTTATTAAAATTCATTTTAAACCTGATTTATCGCGTTTTTGTGGAAGTGCGTAGATTATTGTTTCATCAAGTCCATCGTTTCACGATCTCCGAAATGTAAAAAAATCAAGTTTCTCTGCTTCTCATGTGTACAGATGTTAGTTGTAGTACTGCTTCTTGTAGATTATCCAGTGGATTTCAACAGATATCCTGCAAGCCTACCCGATAACAAAGACTGACTGTGGAAATGAAAAAGAAGCCCTTATTATTTGTCTAAAGATATGAATATTGGACAGAGGAACAATGAGGAAATGTTATGTTTTCTGGTGAATCCACACTGCAGCAATTCGTTGTACGTCAGCATTATGTCAGAATGCCACCCGGAAAGAGATATAATGAAAAATATACCAAATAAATTATGAAAAAATCTGCCAACCAGATGAGTTTGGAACAATTGGTTTATATTTCCTGGGCCCTAAAACAACCATGAATGGTTAAAGATATCTGGAACTGTTGCAGGATAAACTAGACATTCATATACACATACATGCTCATTTATGCATGATGGTGCCCTGTGTCACAAAGTAAAGTTCAAGAATATCTTAAGAGGGTCAATGTCACTATGTTGGAATGACCTTTTTATTGATAAATATATCTTTATTAACCTCGATTTAGCTCTGTTCAGCGAGGTTCGAAACCGGTTACATAGCTCGTTTTTCCTTTTTTCCCCTTTTAATTGTTATCATGAGTGGTAATAAAAAAGATTTTGTCTATGGCGATCATTAAATTTTGTACCACCAATAAAATCTTTATATATATAAGTTTAATAGTCAGAGTTGAATCAAACCAGTAAACAGTAGTATTAAAAATGCTCAATACACGTGTGAAAAAATAAAAGTAAAAATGACATGCAGAGCTTTTAACTTTAAAAATCATTTGCTCCGAGGTGTGCCGTTGCTTAAAAAGGTTGGGGAACACTGCCTAATCGCATTGAAGCGCTTTCCAAGTTGAAAGGTGGACATAAAATTCTAGTTTATACCGAAATAACTAGAAAATAAACTTGTTTTGATGCATTTAAAGTGACTTTTATTTTAACGCTATTGAGATTTTTGTTCGTTTTTTTTTTATAAAAATTTGGGGTGGTCATAAAAGTTTGGCCACGACTGTAAATCGAATACTGCAGACGGTGAGAAAAACACTGGATCGAAGGGTGACCGTACATGTTACAGCAAGATTCGGCTACCTCCCGCATAGCTCACGTGACCCAGAAGTGAGGCTGCTCCAGAATTTTTACGGTCTTACCTCCTGAAACATATAGCTTTTTAGATCTGAAATATCGTCAAGAGTCGAACCATCCGCTTCACAATGTCAAGGACTCTTTGATGGGTTCCGCTGTAGACATAATGACCAACATGAACCGTATGATCCTAACTTCCAAGGTCGCATCGATGCCGCCGTCCTCAACGCTTGAGGTTGTTTCAATTAAACATCCATCAACCTTGTGAATGACATCGTGGACGAGTGCAATGGCCACTCAGATACTGAAAATTGTTTTAGCCTCGGGAACACACCTAACTCATATGTTGAAAATCTGTGCAGTTATTTTTTTTTTTTTTAATAAACTGATTTTTTATTGGATATATTTGAGCTTACGGCCATATCACATTGAAACACCGAATCAATCAAAGAATATCATTGTTTTGTTTTTGTATGTGTTCCCAATTACCTAGCTCGCCTCCATATATATATATATATATATATATATAGAGAGAGAGAGAGAGGGGGAGAGAGAGGGTGATCGTGTGCGTGAGGTACTTCTTTTTATTGGTATAAAAAGCTTAACCGAATGCAATGTGATCGCATTAAATTCCGGAAATAATTATAAAATATTTCCTTTAGAATTCATGTTTCTATATACCAAATGTTAGTCGAAACTATAGGCAGCCGAGTCATTCAACCTTTGCTGCTGTTGATCGTCGCGTTACTGAGCAGGATTCGTCGCACCACAAACTATGAATTGAGGAAGATCCGCACGTGCGTCTGACCACAAAAAGAAACACATTCTAGAGGCTTTCGAAGACGATCCAGGTATCAGCATACATCAAGTGGCCCTAGCATATCGTATATCTCATATTACCGCATGCAGGGTACTTCAAGAGCAGGGTCTTAACGCCTTTTAATCACTCACCATGGGTGAAATTTTGCCGATGACTTAGTGCAAAACTTGCTGATCTGTTGTTTGTCTTTTCAGTCTTATTTACGGATGAGGAAAGATTTGGAAAAGATGGAATAACAAATTTACACAACAAACATTCGAGATCCCCATAATACAATACAGGCTAGACTCCAATGTCAGTTTACGATTAATGTATGGGCTAGAATTGTCGGTGACTGTCTGATAGGTCCATATGTTCTCCCGGTATGTTTTACAAAAGCTGTCTACAGGGACTTTATTTCGAACACCTTTCCAGACCTGCTAGAGGATGTACCCCTGCTAATATGAAGACTCATATGATGCACATTTTAGCCACATTGTTCGCGATGCATTGTCTGACATCAACTATGAAAGATGGATAGATAGGTGAGGACCGGTTCCATGTCCTGCACGTTTCCCAGACCTTAATCCTTTGGGTTTTTATCTGTGGTCCCACCTAAAAAAATTGTTTTATGCAGCAGACATTAATAATGTAGAAACACTTTATCAATGTGTCATGGGGGCCTGAGAAAACATTCGACACTGTGTGGAAGTATGTGAAACACTCCGCCAGTCAATGATACGACGGGTGAATGCGTGTGTAGAAGCAAACGAAGGATAATTTGAACATTTGTAATGAGTGGCTGTGTTGAGGTACAATGATGGCCTTTTGGGCATATTTTTTTATGGATATTTTACCTTGTTTTGGTGTCAGGAACTCGCCCTCAAAGTTTGTAAAGGTATTTTTAGATTGTATTTTGGATTGTACATTTAACAGTGTCTAGCGTAAACTTTAAACTTAATAACTCAAAAAGGAAGGTCTTGCGGACATGTTTATATAAACTTTTGTCCTTGTTTTGGTGTGAGGAACTCGCCCCCAAATTTTGTAAAAATATTTTGATACACCCTGTATAAGCCCTTTTCATTGGTGCAAGGATTATTTTTCCCTTTCTATGTGCATATGTGTGTGTATGTGTGCGTATGTGTATGTTTATGCACCTGTGCGTATATGTAGAATGCGGTGACTATTTCTTCTTTTCGTCGTTTTTCTTGTCTCTTTATGCTCCCTCCTTATTGGTTCTATACTTTCTTCTTTCTTTTTCAAATGGAGCAATTTCACATCCGGTTTTTCACACAGTCACTATTCTTTTCAATTCTTGAGCGTTCTAGTGCTTTCTTGTGTTTTGAAAATTGTATTTCATTTTGTTACTTAAATAATTTCATTTTTTTTTAAGCATATCACCCCAAGCAAGGCGTGGGTTCCACTCGCACGCAGGGGATTACAAAAATTGAGAGCAGGAGTTAAGAGACGTATTTGAGGAAAGAATATAGAAAAGGACGGGGATCAGGATCAAGACATCAGAAGATGTTGATTGTTGAGGTGTCCTCCCTCT